GGTGTGCATATTTGTATTTGTATTTATGTATTTACACCAGAAAAAGAAAATATACATAACACAATTAATTTTTCCTTTTTACCACTGCAAAGGATTCTGGTGTGGGTCATGGAAATAGCTCATTTGAGCTAGTCGAGTCCTAGACCCGGAATAAGAAATAATATTGTACTGACGTGCGGATTATCATAAATTTATCATATACATATATTTTATACTACCAGTCAATTAGTCAGCTTGTCAATCAGTTAATCAGTCAGTCTGTTGTAGTGAGTTGTCAGCCAATTGTCGTATAATTAATCTGAATATTCAGATATAAGTTCAGCTTTCAGACAATTTTTAAAAAAATATCTACTAATATTGGCATTTTGTAGTTCTGGTTCTAGTGAATTCCAATGCTTAATTGATGCAAACTTTATGTTATGCTGGGTTATAGAAAGTTTTGTTTTTGGTTTTTATTTAAATCAAAAATATATAGACAAGAGTGGAATTTACATAGTTTATGAATGTTCAGAATTCGAAGAGATCGGAACAGTGTTGCAGAATGCGAGTTCCATTTTGAAAAAGTGATAAGCCGCACAAGTCTTTTCTGGAGTTGTAGAATCGGTTCAAGAAGGGTAGGATAAGCGTTTCCCCATATTTCAACACAGTACGTTAAATGTGGAAGAATCAGGGTATTATATAATAGAATAAGAATATACTTTGGGACATAATGTCGAATTTGTGAGATTATACCAATTTTAAGCTACAGTAAGTATGTTAGTGACTTTGTTAATATGATATTTCCAGTTCAAAGACAAATTTATATTGACACCCAAGTAAGATACTGCTGTTACGCCCTCTAACGGTACATTATCAATTTCTAGGGATCCATTAATATGAACTTGTTTTTGTGGAGTTTTAATTACCATATAATTTGTTTTGTTGGCATTAATTGTTAGTTTGTTAGCTTTACACCAGTCAACGACTTTTTTAAATTCTGTATTAATAGTATTAAGATTAATTTGGTTAAATTTATGTGAGTTGAATAGGTTAGTGTCATCTGCAAATAAACAAAAATCAAAGGCATTGGTACTGGAGTTAATATCATTAATATAGAGAAGAAATAATAGAGGGCCGAGTATTTAACCCTGGGGAATTCCACATTTAACTTAGTTTGCGGGTGATACGGTACCATTGACATCCACTGTCTGGAGACGATTTTCTAGATAACTGTGAAACCATTTAAGTGGCAGGCCCCGAATCCCATAATGCTCTAATTTTTGTAATAAAATGTGGTGGTCAATTGTATCGAATGCTTTCTTTAAATCTATAAATATACCAAATGTGATGTAACCTGCGTCCATTTTGTCTGTGATGTCAGTAATTAGATCTACAAGTGCAAGTTTGGTATTGTAATGTTTGCGAAAACCATATTGAGTCGGCAAAAGAATATTAAATTTATCAAGGTACGCTAAAAGTTGGGATTTAACAACAGATTCAATAATTTTGCTTAGAATTGGCAATAAGGAAATGGGTCTGTAGTTGCTTATTTCTAAAGGTGAACCTTTTTTATATATGGGGGTAATTTTAGCGATTTTTAGTAGATCTGGGAAAATACCTGTAGTAATGGATAGGTTGATGATATGGGCTAGGGGACTAGCAATGTGTTGGGCAGCATGGATTATTGTTTTTGGATGAATATGATCTGGGCCCATAGCTTTGCTGGGATCTAAACGCCCGATCTCATTAATGACGTCATTTTGACTAACTGGACGCAGGAAGAAAGAAGCTGTGTAATGATTATCAAAAAGGTAGTTTGTAAAATGTTCAGGAGAATTGATTTGAGCAGCTAGGGCTGGTCCAACATCAGTGAAAAAATCATTGAAATTCTGTGCAATATCGATATCCTTTGACAAAACTTCCCCCGTATTGGATTTAATAACCTGTCTTGGAGACATAGAAATATTATTGTTTAAAATGCTATTTATAATTTTCCAGGTTTTATTAGTATTTCCAGTCAAAGACTGGAATTTGGCTGAATAATAGTTTTTTTTAGCTTTTTTGAGCAGTTTTGTCAGAAGGTTTCGGTATATCTTGTACTTGTTACCAACTTGAATATTGTTGGGAGACCTTTTCATTTTAGAAAATAATTTGTGTTTTGTTTTAGTTGAAATAAGAAGACCTTTCGAGAGCCAGGGCTTACAAAACGATTTGCTATTAACATTACATTTTTTAATTGGGGCGTGCCTTGATGCAATAGCACTGAAAGCATCACAGAAAATCTTGAGTGCCCGATTTGGTTCATCACAATTATAAATTGGCTGCCAACATGTATTGTTCAATTCGGAAACAAATTTGTCACGGTTATAATTTGAGAAGTCACATTTGTAAAATATCTTACCTTGATTGAAATGATGATGTAAAGTTTCGTATATAGAAAAAATGGGAAAGTGGTCACTTATATCTGAGAGTATTGTGCCACATTTAACAAAGTGGTCAGTAATATTAGTAATCACGTGATCAATAGAGGTACTTGTGTCATGGGTCATTCTTGTTGGTGTATTAATTAATTGTGAAAAGTTATAACTGTGCAAACGTGATGCGTATGTGGAGGTAATATGAGTATCTTGATTTACATCAATATTAAAATCACCTAGAATAATACATTTCTTGTTTAAAGCAGATATTTGACTAAGCACATGGCCAAAACTTTCACAGAATTCATGAATTGGAGTATTGGGTTTGCGATAAATTACAGCAAATACAATGTGTTTCTTTGCAATAATAACATCAACAAAGACAGATTCACAATGGGCTATTTCATAACAATGAAGGTGTGAGAATGATAATGAGTGGTGGACGTACAATGCCGCCCCACCACCTTTAGAATGCTCACGGCTTGACGTAATTAATTGGTAAGAGGGAAGTGTATAAAGGGAACAATCAGAATTCTTACGTAACCAAGTTTCGCTAAGGGCAATAACAGAGAAATGTTGATTTATATTATTAAAGGAGAGAGACAAATCGTCAAAATGTTTTGCAAGTGATCTGATGTTGAAATGAATAGTAGATAAAAAATGCTTATTATTGAAATTACCTGAATTAAATTCATCTACTGAGTATGTTTTACAGT